CAAATCCCGAGCCCGACCCGAAACACAGTCGGGCTTACTGTGTTAAGCCCGAGGTCAGGCCCGTGGGCCTAATTATATGACCAAGCCCGGCCGGGCGGGCCGGGCCGGGCCAGGCCGTCGAGCTACCCGGCCCATGAACAGGTCTACTCGTCACCTGCTGAGGTTCCGTCCTTATCTTGACGGGTAGGGTGATTCTTCCTTCCGGCCTTACCACATTTTCGGAAAAGACAACGAGTGGTACGTCGGAGGGCTGAAGGCGCTCAGGCACCAGCTTCATTCTTTCAAACGCATCATAGAAGGGAATGTTGGCCGATGAGCCGTTGTCCACCATAATCTTCTTCACTAAAAAATTTGCGACAATGGCAGACACTATGCCTTATGGGCCGAGGCCGAGCCCCCAACGATGACGTCTATGACGTTTGCTAATTGTTGTTCTTGTTGCTGTAAGGACGACGCACCAGCCGGCCACGGTGGTACTTGCAATGCTTTTTCAGGTTTCCCCTCTTGTGGTTCCTCTTCATCTTCTCGGGCCACTTCACGTACTCCTCCTTCCCAACCTGCATGAGGATCTACATCCAGGTGGAGTTGAGTGGCGTATATTGGTTATAAGCCAAGGCCAAGGCCGATGGCTTGTTGTTGTTGTTGCCATTGTCGTTGCGACCATCTCCATTCCTTCTCTTCTTCTCTGGACCTCCATGGTGGTGGTTGACCCCTCCTTTCTAGCGATCGCCGGCCGAGGTGGTGATGTACTTCTGGGCCTTCTTCAGAAATTCTGCCTTGGACTTCGGTGGGGTCTTGGCTACCGAGCACTTGAGGGCCGAACTAGGGAGGAGACGGTTGATGGCAGTGTGCACGGAAACCATGGAGTCAAGGTTTTGAACCTCGAGCTCTTTCTTCTTGAAGTGGTCAATGTAGGACCGCAAGCTCTCACTGCACTTTTGTCAGATAGCCATGAGGGAGACGATGCTCTTCTAGCACCACTTGCTACTGATGAAGTGGGCGAGGAAGTGGCTGGCGAATTGCTCCCACGAACTGGTGGAGCGAGTAGGGAGCCTGGAAAACAATTGGCGGGCTGCTCCTTTGAAGGTCGCTTGTAAAGTCGGTACGTTAGGGCGTCGGAGTATCCATATAGGAGCATTAGCGCCTTGAAACTTTCCACGTGTTTGTTTGGCTCGGTCATCCCATTGTACATTTTGAGCGTAGGTGCTTTAAAGTGCGGGGGAAGAGGCTCGAAGATGACGTCTGAGGTGAAGGCATCCATCCTCCCGGATGGATGATTCTGGCTGGCCAAGGCCTTAGCTCGGCTTTCTCTAACTTGACGGAGCTCATCCTTGACAGCTTCAAGTTGTTCTTGTAGGTCAACGATTTTTCGGTAGAGGGGGGAGGCCCCGTCCCAGTCCTCTCGGACTCAGTAGTGGTCGCCCCAATTTTCCCGAATACTCTGATGTGGGCCCGTGTCTATTCCTTCTGGCCCGCTTGTCATTTAGGAGGTCTTAAAGGTCCGAGACGCGAGAGGGAGAGGCGCGGTGTCGGCCCTCGAGAGGGGGTTTTGATGGCCTGATCGCCCGCCTTCGTCCCAAGAGTTCTCTCTTTGGCGACAGTGATGATGTTCTTGGTCTCGGCGGTGATCGCGAGATTGTGTCGATTCTTCCCTCTTTGGCTAGGGGGTCGTGAGGTCTTCGGTGACTGATTTGCGCATCGGCTACTATCTGACTTTGAGGGGTCGGCCCTGTTGGATCCAACCGGGCCAATGATTAAGGGGTTCGGGGAGGCACACTCTCCATGGTGCCCCAAGCTTCCAGTGGGGTGGCTACCCTAAGGGTGGCCTCCTTCCGAGCGCCCCACCTCGTCTAGCCTTTGCGCAAAGTTGTCAAGCTGGTTGAGGATTGCTTGAAATTGGTCCATTATGACCAGGTTCTGAGTGTTCCTAGTGTTTCTTGCCATGTCAGCTGAAGCTTAGGCTTAGGAATTAATTCTTTTAAGTTTGAGTGAGGATGGATTTAATTGAGGGAAGTCTTAGTAGCGTTCCCATAGATGACGACAATTGTTGCTGGTCAAAATGGGTTGAGAACAACACTATCAATTCGCTCCTAAGCCGAGGTGTGGTCGAGTAGTCCGAGGCTCGAAGTGGTCGAGGGCTGGTAGGCCTGTATTGCGAGGAATGAAGAAAGTAGAACGTTAGAGGCCCCGGGTTGGTACGCGAGGTGGAGACTCCGATGGTCAAGTTAGTACAAGAGGGGTGAACACTCAAACAAGGCCACAAAGGAGACTAAGAGTTATCAGGTCCAAGTTCTTGATCCTAAGTTCCAGTCATTTACCTTGAGGGGGTTGTCTCCTATTTATACTTGAGGCCGCCTAGCGGTAGGTGGGCTTGGACGGTTTGGATGCAGTTCGTTCGCGAGGGGTGTGGTCATCCGAGGTTGCTAGGTGACTCCGCACCATTGGTTTCGGAATGCCCGCCGAGCTTTGTTCCGCGTGTGCCCTGATTGGGCCCGCCCTGAGCGCTGCCGTATAACATGCACATGCCTGCTATTGGGCAAGGCCATGTGCACCTACATCAATATTGTTTATCTTTAACTTAACAAATCCCATGCATCGCATGGCTCCCCGCTAGTTTGAAAGAAAATGAAGGACAAGAATAATTACAATTGCTTATTAGAGAAAAAGCCTATCAAACACCCAATATAAAATAAGTGCTTGTTTTTTAAGCACACGAATAACATCTAACCCTAATTATATGTAAGGTTTAGGATTAGCTAAACGCAAGGTTTAAAGTATCAGAAACGTAAGGTGCATCGGAAAGATAATTTTAAGAGACGTATTGTAATACGCTTTGGATACGTATAAATACAAACGAAAAATCAAGATACGCATAAATATGCTAAAAAACTCAAATAAATCCTAAAAATATATTAATAACGATAGTTACAAGTTTTATATGATTGTAAATAAGTTATTTAAAAGTAAAAAAAATTGTAATTTAATGGTCTATATAAAATTCAATATATCGGGATACACTTAGTAACTATTCACAAATGATGGAATAACTAAAACGTGAAAAACAAAAAAGACTAAAATGTATATTGATATATACATTTTAACTTGGTTCTGTGAGTTCTGTGTATCGGATTTATACCGGAATGATACGATTGACCGATACGTTGCGAAATTTTTAACTTGGTTGAATGCTTTAATTGTTTAGCCAGTTGTGAAACCAATAATGAGGTTTCACGCCAATAATAAATTCATGGGCCTCATTGTAAAGATGGCGGTCCCAATGTATTTAAATACTAGCGTGGAACCTTATCGTTGGTTCCACATCCCGCTGATGAGCTAAACCTTACTCCTTTAATTAGGTTTGAGTGGAATTCACATCTGCAAGTCACAAGAAGGTGCCTCACAATGCCCCAGGGCACATCCCCACCCTGTATTGGGAACATCTCCCGATGAGACAGATGTGAACTCGTGCACATCCCCACCTTGTATTGGGGACATCTCCCGATGAGATGTGAACTCCATCTCGTTTGGGTGGTACAGCTTGGACCGTTAGGACGCTGGTATTGGGTTTGGCCGGGACCAAGACCAGGCCCAAGTTCCAGGTCTTAGTGTTAGGGTTGGCCTTAAACCCGACCCAACCCGCCGAAGTTGCAGCCTATAAAAGCAGGAGAACGGATACAGCAGACAGCAGAGTTCAGAACAAAGCACCGAGTAACAGAAAAAAGGATAGAACCCTAGCGTGCGCTATAATTCTCTCCACTTAGGTAAGGATCTTAGAGGCCCTTTTTCGTGCTCCCTGTCATTCTGTTGTAGGATTCGTTCTTCATTCATTTTTTTTGTGCTTCTGCATGCCTTCCCCAAATTCTAGGGCTCCACATGTGTTCTGCTTCAATCTTTGCGTTTTCGTTCTTGCGGTTAGCGTCTGATTTCTAGGGTTTTGATGGATGAAGACGTTGGATTCTTTTCCACAATTTGATGTTTTTGACATCGTTAGTTGTTTCCATCATCGACCATATCATGTTGTTGCTTTCTTTGTGTTAATTTAAACTGACTAAAGAAGATTCTTTTCTATGTTTATTTCTTTTCTTACTATGATAGTTATTTTTAGCGGATAATCTAATGTAACCGCTGAGACAATGATATACCCTAGCAAATAGTTAAAACTTACAGTTAGGCGACAAACGCTAGCAAGAGAGATAACAATACCAAAAGAGAAAACTGTAAAAATGATAATGCTACTTATTGATTTGACAATTAGTCGAGGCACAATAATCTGTTAATGCTTTCATTGAATATGATTTTGCCCCTTATCGGCAATTCGGCATAATATCACCCCTCCTCACCTAGTTATTTTTTTCATGAATCAATCACACCTTGATGGACATCACGTTGTATTTGTGATTCAAATCCTACAAAAGCTTCATAAATTATATTAAGGGTTTATGTCAGTAAGGATTTAATACTAGGACATATCCCTTTCTACATGAGAATTGTGCTTCCCTCTGAAAGAATTTGGGCACCAAAAGCTCCAGAAATCAAATGACCATAAAAGTTCAACGATCAGATATAAAAACTAAGCCCAACAAGGACATGTCAAAAAACACAAAAGTTAAAGAGATAAATTCTAAAATACCTATATAAAAAAAAACTAAGTTGGTGCAGAAATTTTTAATCCTAGAGACTTTAATACAAAACAAAGTATACCTTTGATGAAACCATTCCCATTATCCCATATACAACTCAACTCAATTCAACTAAGCCTTGTCCCAAGTCCCAACTATATGGGGTTGCTGCATCTGCTACATGAACTTGTTCTGCTATTCCACTTTATTCATTTCCATATCCATTGGTCGTACTCTACTATGATTCACACAAACCTCAATTAAATTAGATCAACATTTATATGCAGTGGTGATTGAATGCAATTCATTTAAGGACTTGGGTTAAGTTGAGTTTACCAAGGTTTCTGATAAAAAAGTTGACTTTACCAAGGTCAGAATTGCAGTCAAAATGTTAACATTTACCCCATTAAAAAAATACTTGCAGAAGAGGTAAGAAAGAAGTAATGGCCATCAAAGTTGAATCTTGCTTATGTCACATAGGTTAAAACACTATGTTTTGTAATCTAGAAATAAAGATAAATGCACATATTAGACAATACAACATAAAGAAAATATATTGTTTTTTAAGTAATTCCATGTCTAAACAAATCCATTTTGCAATTCAACCAATGTCCTCAGCTTTTATCATATCATTCCTTTCACTGCCCCAGTAGGCCAGTTAATGATCTCTTCACATAATGAAACCATATGCTACCTAGTACCTACTGCCTACTGGTTTCATTTCCTGGAAAACTTGTTCACTGAATTGGAAATATCCTATATAGGAAGTGAAACATTGCCGGGTCGAGAACCAAAACTTGAAGGGACTGGGATGGATAAAAGATTATAAATGACTCACATAAAAAGCAAAATAGTGATACAGAAGAAAGAAGGAAAGGATGTTACATAGAACTTATTTTAGAAGTTGAATAGGCTAAGATTGTAATGTGAAATTCATGGATATGTTCAACACTTCAACTTCAGCACCATTGAGTGGGGCATACTGGCTGAAGTTTTCTTAAGGAATCAGGACATTACGTTATGTGTTAAGGATGATTGTCATATGAAACCTTAGTGGACAATCAATTATGCTACCAATAGACAGGATGAGCAAAATTGTGCTCAAGAAATCAGGAAGAACTAATTGTCTCATCCCACTTTTTGGTTATAGTATTTAGAGTATAGACAATTTGGTGTACAGGCAGATGTGTAGTGGTTGCTTCTGCTTTTTCTTGTTAATTTGATTTTTTTTTTAATTTATGGAGTCTTTACTTGAGTGAGAAGGAAAATCTTTTTTTTTTCTCCATGTGTTTTCAAGATTGGTTAAATCTATATTGCTGGTTGTTTGTCCATAACCTGAAGGTTTGTTCTTCTTGCAGTGTCAATTTCTTTCTTTGAGCTTCTTATATCATCGATGGCTTCAAAACGGATTCAAAAGGAGCTGAAGGATCTGCAAAAAGATCCTCCCACCTCTTGCAGTGCTGGTACATTTTATTGTCTCTCTTATTTCTTGTTTGTCAAATGCCCTATTTGATGCAAGATTTCAAGCTCTTGAAGCCGGGTTGAGCAATGTGGTAAACTTGTTATTGTCAAGCTGGTTTTAGATGATCATAGGAATTTATGTAAATATATGAGGTGAATAGGAAAATAAAGTGCACTAGGAAACTTTTTAGTAGAGATGCTTTGCCAATACTTATATTTTGTAGATTACAAGTTTACAACATTTACGATACTCTTTACAGAAGTGTAAAAGTTAGCTACTTGTGATGAATTATATTAGACTTTTTGTTTAATAGATCAGATGGAATGGAGTTTGGAAGAACTTCCCATGTTTCTTGATTCTTGCTTAGTGGTTACTCTTTTGGTTTAGAGAGCATATATTTTGTTGGGATGCACATCTGAGTGTATGAGTGCCCGTTGGAAGGAGATAAGAGATGTAAAGGACTTATATACGAGGATTGACTCAACCTAATGGCTTAAGCTTTTGAGTTAAGTGTGGTGTCCAATTCTTGTAACTCCTATGTGTGGACTGTATGTGAACTCCCCAATTTTGGTGACTCTCCTCATTGCACAACAAGCACTAGAGTTGAAGGTTTGGCTGAGTGCAATTTATGATGGATGCACATGGTGACTCCTATGGCTTTGTTGGTATCCCATGGTTGAGTAGTTGGCATGAGCAGTTGATCTTTCATGATGACTTCACCCATGGTAATGTACTCTCATTGTTTGTTTCTTATAATTATGAGCAAAGAACTCTTGCTTGGTGTGTGTCAAGCCTGGTGATATGATAGTGACTTCCATTTGAGAGGGAGTATGGAGCAATGTTTTGAAAAATTGTATCGTAAATCATAGAGAAAGTCGAATCGAGTTGAATCGTGAATCATATCCTAAATCGCAAGATTATTTATATTTTTTATAAACTTGTCAAAAAATTAACTATAGATATATTAAAAGGTCAAATATAATATAGGAAAGTGGATTTCCCTTATTTTTAATCTATATATACCATATATGTACCTAAAATAATAGAATTTACCACTTATACAATAGAAACCTGAGATGATATAATCAAGTTTGGCTTGAAAATCAAACTAATCCACATATAATGGCTCTTTAACCTACAATGGTGGAAAATAAACTCAATTTCTAGTCTTAAATAACGTGAATAAATCATTTTCTAGTAAGGGCTTAAAAAAACCCTTGACAAAACTAGATATACGCAAAAACATAACAAAGTAGAGAACTAATTCTTAATTCAATTTGTTTGAATCGTAGAAATAGTAAGATTTATGAATCAAATCATAGGATTCAAACAAAAATCATAAGATTTTTGCAAAAAATGATTCAAGCATAAGATTTGAATCGAAACCCTTGGGATTCATGATTCAAGTCGTGAATCATATCGTAAATCGTAAGATTTTGACAACATTGGTATGGAGTACCTAATGTTGAAAGTACAATAAATCTGATCTGATTTGAAATTTGTGATAAAAAGAAGAAAAGGAAAAGTTTGTGTAGAAAAGAGAAGAGAGAGGTTGGCTAGGCCCGAGCCCGAGCCCGAAGCCCGACCTAATAAAAAAAATTACAATTTTCCCTATTCAAATTAGAATTAAAAATTCAGATGTTTTTTTTCCTATTTAAATGAATAATGGGCCTACAAGATGGTTTTTTTTCCTTTTATGTTTTAAAACACAGTTTTACATTCTTAAATCAAAAAATTTATTCAAATTGACATAATCACATAACCCATTTTAAGTCTAATTTTAGGTTGGGCCGGGCCGGGCTATTTGACAAAACCCGAGCCCGGCTCGAATTTATTGCGTGCCGGGTTTTTTGGCCCGAGTTTAAGCCCGCGGACCTATAAACATGTTCAAGCCTGTCCGGGGGCCGGGCCGGCCCGTTGGGCCACCCGGCCCATGAACAGGTCTACCCACAACCCAATAGCTTAAGCTTTTGGCCTGGTATCCAACTCTTGTGTACAAGTCCTATGTACATTTACGTGAGCTCCTCGGATTTTTTGACTCTTCATTGCTCAATTAGGTTTGAATATTGCAATGTAGTTGGATTCAGCCTCAATTTTTATGTAGATTGGTATATGTTTCATGGTGGTGTTATTCTCCTTATTGGGTTCTCTTAATTGTTTCATTTGCTAGGCTTGACTACAAGTTTATGGATAGAAATCATAAGAAGAAAATGCATGGCATGTCTTTGTTTACTTATGAATTGATGCCTGATCATATATTCTACTGTATAAATGAAGTGAAAAGTAAATTGGAGGTGCTTATTTTGTCATCTTGGTTTCTTATGTGATGTTTGGATAATCTATGCATGTGTGCACACGAACACACATTTCTGTTCAAGTTCCTAGAGCACTAATGCTGTAGGTTCACCCATTAGAACAATAATTTCCTTTTGTAGTATCTATACAGAAGTGTTTTAGGTTTTTCTGCCCCATAGGTATCTTAGATCTTCCATTTAATTGAGATGATTTTCTCATTTCTTCGGGATATTAATGAATTATTATTTATCAGAAAAAGATTTTCCAAGTTCCAACCAACAATGAATGCCACTGAATGAGAGAATCACTCATTGGAATTGTTTGTGTAAGCTTAATTAGGTTTAGGTTTCATGAATTACAGCTTTATGTTATGTATTCCAATCTGAATATTGTGTGTTTCTGTAGGTCCTGTGGCAGAAAACATGTTCCACTGGCAGGCAACAATCATGGGTCCATCAGACAGTCCTTTTGCTGGTGGTGTTTTTCTAGTAACCATTCATTTTCCACCAGATTACCCGTTCAAGCCGCCAAAGGTAGTTTTAACTTCTTTCATCTATTTAAGAGATGTCATATGGTGATCAGGGGTTTACCCTTTTTACAGTAATACATATATCATCACTTATCCAAAGAAAAGAGATGTCATACAGTGCTAGTCATGAAGTCTCTCCTTGTGTTCCTTGATGCTTTTATTTTTCACTTTTTGGGGGTGACTGGGAGTGAACAAACATGAGAATCTGGTTTTGGGTTTGATGTGTTGTGGTTAAATCTGTATCTAGTCGACCCCTCCCAAGATTCACAAATGGCATTGGCTAATGGTCTTTCTATTTTAAGTGGAAAAGGTATCGTTATTCCATATTTAGCTGGTAGTTGCTATTGAGTATTTACTCTTAGAAATTAAATTTTGTTGGCCAGGTTTCTTTCCGCACCAAAGTTTTCCATCCCAACATCAACAGTAATGGGAGTATCTGCCTTGACATTCTGAAAGAGCAATGGAGCCCTGCCCTTACAATATCCAAAGTGAGTTTCTGTAATCAGTATTACTGTTTCTTGACTTCTGTGTGGTCACCACCAAATTAATGTTTACCATTGCATATTAAAATTTTTAAAAATTACCAAACAATGTTCCCTACAGAGTCTCTTCAGTCATACTTGAGAAACTCAAATTTTACCCTCAGGTTTCCGGTAGGTTTAATCAGGATTTTCGTTTTAAAAGTCGGCCTGAATTTAAGCTAGGCATCTCAGGACCCAGCTTGATAAAAACCTTCTAGTTCTTTTACCCTGCACCCACGTGTCGTGTGCAGTAAACTCCCAAAAATAGCCAAGGTTTTCCAGTTCGGCAAACTTCACAAGCTTTGCCAAATTTTGATGAAATAAATATCTTCCCTTATAAAATAAGGAATATAATGTAGAACTCACCATGACTTTTTTTGCATTTCTCCTCACCATGAATTTTCAAAACCTCCAAAAGAGCCCCCTGTCAATCAGCTTTATTGTCCAAAATTCACCTTCCGTTAAGATTTCTCCTCACCATGACTTTTTCGTTCAGGGGTAATTTTGCCATGAAAAATAGCTTGATTGGCCATTCAGGGGTAGTTTGGTCATGTAAAATGCTCAAATGCTTATTTGGACAACTTCTATTAATGATCACTAAGGGTGATTTCTGGAGGTTTTGAAAATCATGGTGAGCTTAAGAGAAATGCAAAAAAGGGTGACTGTTTTCTCACTCAGTATTTGAGATCAGGTTTTATCTCTCAATCTCTCCCCTTATTTTTCGTTGTTGCTTCGAGATCACTCCCTTATCTGTTGATGGCTGAGATATAGCTTCCATCTATTTTCCGTCCTGTGGTATTTTCATCCCACAAGGATGGTAGTATAGTTGGGCATAATTCTAACGATGGGGTGAGACTTGTAGGTGCTGCTGTCAATTTGCTCTCTGCTAACAGATCCAAACCCAGACGATCCTCTCGTTCCTGAGATCGCACACATGTACAAGACTGATAGAGCAAAGTATGAGGCAACTGCCCGTTCCTGGACCCAGAAATATGCCATGGGATAGGAGCTTTGGATTCTGCATATATATATATAATATGGTGGTCTATCCCACTATTAAATAAGTAAACGAAAACGATAGTCTATAAAGGTTAGAGCATATGTGAATCAACTTGTGTTCTTGGAATCTGGTAATCATTCTATGTTACTGGATCCTAAGTAGGTTTTACTTACTCTGCTTTTCTTTATGTGGGTAAAGATCCACAAAGCTTTACATGTCATAGTATAGCTTGTTGCAGCTTTAAGGTTACTTACATTCTATCAAAATAAGTAGCATACTGCTATTATACCCACCCACCTTCAATGGAGAAACTGTTGGGTTTGTTGCAGCTTTGCGAGGTCTGACCGTCCGAGTAGTCTTGACTCCAAGGCTGTGTTTGATTTGTGTGAAGGTTTTGGTGGGATGATAAAGGGAAAATGGGTGGAAATTTTTCATGTTCCATTGTTTGATTGCAAAAGTGAAAATAGTGAGAAAATCAACCCTAGTAATAGTTATTAATTAATTAATTAATTAATAATATTTTACTATTATTGATATTTTAATGAAATGATTTTATAATTATTTAATATTGATAACTATTTTATTAATTACTAAATAAGAATTAATATTTTAAAACTTATTTTATTAATATTTACTATGAATTGATTAAAAATTTTATTTTATTATGAATTTTTTTAATTATTTTCATTGAATCATTAATTAGATTAATAATAATATCATTATTTATTTGTTCATTAATTACTTAATTAATTATTAACTATTTTTTTGTAATTATTAATTAGTTAATAGTAATTTCTTATTATTTGATATTTTATCATTAATTATTAAAAACATAGATCCTAGGGTAGTTTCCTAGGTACCATGACCATATTTCTTTAATAATTATTCATGATTTTCTTAAGAAAAGTATAAATTTCATATTAAAATATAAAAAATCAACATATTCATGAGAGGAAAAGGAAGAAGGAAAATAAAATTAAAAAAATATAAGGGTTGAATCCTTATTTTTATTACAAGAAAAGAAGTAAAAAAAAAAGAATTGGTAGTAGAAGAAGAATATGGAAGAGGAAAATGTGCTGACTAGATAAAATTTTAAGTTCTTCCTTGTTAGTTCAAGTTTTTAAGTCTTAGGGTTCAATTTAGCATTTAGCAATGTTTGTATTGATTAAACCCTAATAAACAAGAAAATAATAAAAAGAAATTAGTATATAAACACACAAAATGATTATTTTATTTTAATGTCGTCTACTTTATAATAATAAGAATCTAAAAAAATAATGAATAAAATAATATTTTATAGTAGGAAGTAGAAAACTGTTAGGCGATTAGGCGAGGCAAGCCTCAAAGGGTGCCTTGTCGCCTTGACAACTATGATATTATAGTTTATTAGTTTATAATTTATTATTAATATAATGTTTTATTAATACTCATGACTTAATGATTTTAATATTTAAATATTAATTATTCATAAATATTAATTTATTTTCTTTAATAAATTATGTCTTTTAATTTATTTCAATTAAAATATTAATTATAAAATAATTATTTATTAATTAATTGTTAAATATTTTGTTAATTCCCAATTATTAAATTTAGTATTTTAATATTATTTTTTTAATTATTAAATTATTTTTCATTGAAATTATTATTTTTAGTTTAATTAAATTATTAATTATAAAATAATTATTTAATTATTAATTAATTAGCAAGGTAATTAATGATTAAATTTTTCTTGATTAATATTTTATTTTATTTTAAGTTATTTGTTAATCGCTTTAATTAAATTATTTTATTAACATGTTATTAAATAATTAATAATTTATTTATTGGTCATGGGTATAGTATTTACTCTTAGAAATACTACTCGGAAGGTGTTTTTTTAGGTTAGATAAGTTTTACCCCCTACATTCCCACTTATTTTCCCACCAAAATGATGGAACTTCACATCCCAAGAATTGGGATTTATATAATCCCACTTTTTCCCATCTCATCTCATGACATCCCACAAACCAAACACGGGAAGGGGGGATATTCCCTTCCCATCCCATAAACCAAACGTGGCCTAAAGGAAAAAGGGTGCGACTATGATATCGGAAAGATTGATTCCTGTAAAATTAGGTTGGAAAATTCTAATAATCCCAGTGTGTATCACGTTTGGTGATGTAGACCTAGCATGACTAGAAGAATAAATCATATTGTGCATCTAACGAATGAATTATGGAAGAACAAGTGTATGACTACACCATGGTTGCCTATGACTTCTCATAGGCCGTAGCCTCTTTACCAAGGCCTTTTTCCAATGCTAGTCTCGGTAGCATCGATTTTTTGCATGAAGTTATTTCTGGTATTCAAGCTTTTTCTGGGCTTCAATGTTCTCGTGCTTGTTAATCTATGGTTTTATTTTTACCATCGCATATTGCTTTGTCCCATCCCCTTCTTCCCAGGTGTGCACAGTTGGTAATTTAAAATTCTCAACAATAATCATAAAAAGACCATCAACAACTCTAGTTAAAGTGATTTATTATAAGTTGAAGGGATAGAAAGGTTAGGTATAAATTAAAAAGGATTTGGGTATTAGTAAGCATTGAATGGATAGAATGAAGTGTCTTTACGTAGGTTGGGTAGGCCGGAGATCATCCATGATCCAATCATCCAAACAATATCTCCACCATATGTTTGGTTTGGTGGGTTATATGAATAAATAGAATGAAGGGTCTGTTTGGTTTGCAAGTCTAGGGATCAGGAAACGCAATCGGAATTCTGATTCCAACTGTTTGGTTTGGTAGAATTGGAATCCCATTTTCATTCTTGGTAGAATGGCATTCTCCCATTTGAGGGAAGCCATTCCCTCCCCCTCGGGAATGAAATCCCATTTCAGCTTATTCCAATTCCTGTCTAAACCAAAGACTATAGGAATAGATCATTCTGATTCCCATTCCAAGTTTCCAACTTTGAACCAAATGGACCTAAAGTGTCTTTACATAGGCACTGGTAGGTCGGATGCAGACTTGATCATCTTTACCGGGTCAGACTATATATATATATCCTTGGTCAGTCAAGGTGAAGATGATCGATCATCTTAATTACCTTCTTTTGCTTGGTGCCATTTTCTTGCAAAGCAAATACAACCCTGGTGAATCAATTACAAGTCATATCCCATACATGGCCGGTTCATGGCCTAAATGATGTTTCCCTTCATAGCATTGTTATTTCATAAACCCAGAAGCCTCTTCAAAACCTTTTCACGTTTTTTTGGGTAAATTACAAACAATCTCTCATTTATTAAAGGGCAAAATAAGATTTAAAAAATTAAATGAGCTCACGTGTAATAGGAGTGTATGTTTAAGTCCAGTAATATGTTTAAAGTCTTTTACCCCCCAAAAAAGAAGATTGTAAAGTACAACAAAATATGAAAAACATAAAATTGAAAAAACTATAACAAAGAAAAAAAAGAAACTACAGAAGAAAATGAAGATACAAAACATTAAAATTTGTTGAAAAAACTAAAAATACAAGAGATACCATAATTTAGCATGCTTGTTTTCGCTATTTGATATTTTCTCTTAGTCCATTGAAGTTCACATTTTGATAATTTTACCTTTATCATCAAGCCACAAGACCAGGGCAAGGTGCTGGAAGTTGAAAATTCAGGGTGAATCTTTGTCACAAATAAAGTTTTGGGGGGTAAGTACCACTACCCCAAAAGTATAGGTGGCAGACTCGAAGTTAACCCTGTTTTTTGGTAGAACCTTTTCTTCAGAGGTCATGTACTAACAAACCCTTATAATTTCACCTAATTATTAACACCTATCCCATAGTTTGGCGCCCCCACATGTAGGGGTGTCACTATGACTGGATTTGGTCCAATCTGATACAAACCAATGCGAGTCCATTACAATTGGACCTGGTCCAATCCAGTCCAGTGAATATTTTAAGACCATTTTGGACCGATCCAGTTCAATGTCTGAACCGTCTAATCTGTTCAAATTCATATTAATTTAGATTGGTTTCAATTCAAACCTGGTCCATTAACACCTGTGTTCTTATCTTCTATCAATGGACCAGATATTGACTCAATCCAATTTAAATTCATTATGGACGGACCATGTCCATCCAATATGTCTTATTAGTTCATTCAATCCATCCAAATTCAATGTCTTATTGGTCCATCCAATCTATCCAAAGTGATTTTAATTTGAATGGAGTCCAATCCAAAACCGGTCTATTGACACCCCTACCCGGATGCACATCTCATTGTACATTGGCAACATCTTCTGTATCTGTCATGGGGATATGATCCCAATACAAGCGAGGAGGTGCGGTGGGGCGCTAATCCAATCAAGACACCCTCAGATTTACAATCTCTTTGAGGGCATGTTTTTCTTGGTAAGTGGCATGGTGGTACCTTAATCAACTTACGTACGTTCACGGTAAATGTGAATTCTGGTAAATCAATTTTTTTTTTTTCATGAAAATCACCTATGTGAACAAGTGATAGTGTCATACCCATATCCGAAATGGGTAAATAACTTTCTAAACGTGGGGGAAAGATATCAAAACATTACCGGGCAAAGTTGCCCCTTGGACAAAGGAATTTAACCAAATAAATGACTTACTGAAAAATAAAACATGTCATTAAAATAACAGAAAAGAAATAACCAAAATTTTCAATTTGAAATTACAGAAATTAAAATTAGAAGTAAAATAGACAATGAAAAAAATTGTCTGTCATTATCTATTTTATTTTTGTTTAGCTTTCTTTATTTTTACTAAACAATTTTGTTTTTTTACCAAGTACTTCTGTTTTATTTCCGCCATTACAGTGTACCTCTGTGAAGTGATTTACTGAAAACCCCAGAAAGTTTACTGTTGTACGGTTTCATACCCTTCATAAAAAATAAAGACAAGTGATTAGAAGTTTCATTCAAAATGCCAAAATTTAATCCAAATGAGGCCCCAAAATGTGGAAGAGGTGGTACGATTGCCCCGATAAATTGTTTACAAGGTAAATCAGGAGTCTGTAGAGCACTAAATATGCCAACAAGCAAACGTAAATCTTCACTAAAATCAACTTTAAACCTTGATTAATTTGGAAATGCTGCCCCCATACTAAGCTAGCTACCAGATTCACCATGACCAATCAGCTCAGCGCTTTTTAAAACTACAAATAGCGTTGCCAGATGGCTAAACATAAAAGAAAAATTAACAAAAGGTTACAGATGAAGAAAAGTTTAAGCCAGTGATTTCCTCTTCTACAAGCTTGGTGTATTCAACTGGCTTCTAAAGACAATCAAAAAGCTGACCAAGTTCAGTACCTCTAGTCAATCTTGACGGATGAGAAAAGGTAATGGACGAAGTAGAATGACATAAGAAAGCCAATGGTGCCAGTAGACAACATGATAGCGATTGCCATGAGAGATGAATAACCCAGGTAGAGAACAGCCGAGACAGGTCCGCTCAAGCTTCGCAGATCAAATACCAGGTAATTAATAGAATAGAGGAACACGTAGAGCGCAACCGAACCGGATGCAAAGAAAGCTTTCCACCACCACCGCCAATCCTCCACACAAAGGTGCATGTATGTCAAGACCACGGATACCTCAGCACAGACGATAACAAGCAATAGGAGGACAACGAGCAAGAAACCAAAGACATAGTAGAACCTCCCAAGCCAGATGCTAGAAAGGATGAAGAAAAGTTCAATGAAAAGGGTTCCAAAGGGGAGAGTTCCTGCACCAAGGACAAGCAGCCATGATGGGTATTTTCGTGCAGGGATTTCTCTGGGGATCTGGTTGGTTCGCACAGGGTATTGAATAGTCTCTGCCCTTGTTCCCAAGAAACCTCCCAAGAGGGTGAGTGGCACTGAGATACAGAACCAGAGGGCCAAAAGCTCAAAATACAATGAGATTGGGATAGCACCTGTACTCCTACTGCCCCAAAGTATGAAGTTCAATGTAGTAAGAATAACAAAGACAATGCCAGGGAAAAAGCATGCTGCAGACCAGGAAAGTGACCTCCAACCTTCTGAAGTTCCTTTAATAGTTCTCCATAAGCGAACAGCAACATATCCAGCTGCAATACCAAGGAAAAGATATAGCAAGATCATCCCAGTCAAAAGCATCCCACGAGAAGCAGGTGACATGAATCCAAGAGCTGCAAAAACAATTGTTACGATAGCCATCCCTGTGATCTGGACCCCATCCCCAACCATCACACAGAGGAGCTTTGAACAATTTGGCTCCCTAAAGACATCACCAACAACAAGCTTCCACCCAGAGAGCTCCTCATTCATTTGTGCTTGGGCTTCCTTGTCCAATTCTTCATACCTTGTCAAATCCCTCCTCACTGTCCTTAAGAATATAACAAAAACAATACCAGCTAAGAAGAAAATAACCATCAGTGAGTTTAGGATCGAAAACCAGTGAACACGAGCACCTTCCATCTTCAAATAAGCATCCCATCGAGAAGGCCATCTAATATCACTCTTGACAAATTCAACCTCATAAGTAAATGAGACTCTCTCCTGCTCCCTGATTATCTGAGACTTTTCAAGATCACCTGGGCAATTTATGGTGGAAATGGTATCATACATCTTGAGTTTTGAATAGGCTGTAGGATCATGTTTAACACTGCAAGGAACAACTTCAAATCCAACAATCTCAAAACCAGATGCTGTCTTCTTTTCAGCTTCAGAAATCACGCCCATGCCTTCTTCTCCAGTACCAATAATCTCCACACCACTCCCTTCATACTCATGAACCAAGACCCGGAATTTTAAATGATTAATGATGTAATCTGCCCCGCCCTGAGGTGGTGTATAACCAACAGGAAAGCCTGTCCATTGAATTTTCACCCCATTTTGCATGGCAAACCTCATTGCTGGTAAATTATCCAGGATCATATTCACCTGATATAGATCTCGAGTTCTCTGTTTCAATAGTTTAACCTCCTGTTCATTTAATGGACTTGTGGTGCAGAGATAAATGGACTCATTTATATTCATCCGGAAACGGTAAGGGGAATTGTCGATCTGATCTCCCATAAGGAGCTCTCCTAGATTTTCCGCACTTTTCTTTATTCCCCCAGGAGGTTTGCAGTAAGGGAGGCTATAATAGCTGAAAGGAAGTTCAGTTTCAATTGATGTCAATGAATTCACTTTGGCAAATATTTTTTCCCCTGTTGAATATGTATGCATGTAACTTCCCGGAAGATAAAATCCATTGCAGATGCCCGTGAAGAGAATCACGTACACCAGAGCTGAATAGATTGAAGACTTCATCTTTGAAATCATTTTGGAAGTCATTGAATACAAGAGCAATCAATCTTTTGTTATGAAATCCTTCTGGATCTGACAATTAATTTGCGATTACACGCGTAATTCCAGATCTGGGTCTTGACCAATAAGAAAGTTCTATTATCGATCCCCCATAAGTTGATTTCCGGAAATGAAAATGTTTGCGGAGTCCCTGAAACTCGTTCAACGGATCTCCAATGCAACTCTACAAATACCAAGCTCGATGCCCCTTAACTCTCCTCCAGCTACAGATCTATGAATGAATAACCCCTCAAAACACTAAGTTCTTCAGAGTTCAGACAACAAATAAGGGACGACCCAAATGAAACAACCCGTTAAAATCCTATATCAAACAAAGAAAACGTCCATAAGAGATCGAAGAAATGAAATGACGATAGTTGAGGGAAAACAAAACCCAAGCACGGGAATATATCTATCTGAGATTCAACTGTGACAGTTCATTGAGCAAATTAGAGGCAAATTCCATTAAGATCCACGAAAAAAAACTAAAAACCCCTAATTCAAGAGATGAATCTATGTATATATGAAGATTCATTAGATCGAATACCACCGACCAAAAAAAATCATACACATTCTAAAATTTCAACCTAAAACACAAGATCAAACCATGCAAACGTATCAAACTCAGATTCAAGTTTCAGAGTTTATATAACAAATTAGGAACAAAACCATTGCGATTCAATCCCTAAGAAACCCTAAATCAAGATCAAATCTCATCAAAGAAAGAAAAAAAAAAAGCAAAAAGTGCAGAACTTGACGTGAAATGAGTAAATCCAAGAACGAGCCTTGTAGTAAATCTTAGATTTAAGCATCAGGGATGGAGGACGTACCAGAGACGATGGGATTTGGATTTGTGTTCCTTCGAGAGATGCTTCGAGGGCGTGAAGAACACGGGAAGATATCGTTCTCCGCAACCGAAAGGAGAGAGAAGAGGCAGTGGACGTTTTATTAGGGCTCGTGGATCTGGATCGTGAACGATGGTGGTGGAGTACCATTGTGTGATGTGATGACTTGTCAACCCGAAATCTTTAACTCCGGTTAAAATCCCTTTATGCTTGAGTTAACCCATCATCCACCGTCCATGATCGTCACCTGTCTGTTTATCAGGGGCCATCTCTGGTCTGTACCCACAGGATCCATGATTGGCATCAATTGCCGCGTGTTGTATAACTGTATCATGGGAATTGGGAACCCACCGTTGACCGTTGATTAGGTTTCAAAATAGTGGTGTTGTATAACTTTATCTGATCTACTTCCAACAAACGCTCACAACACTGTTCCAAACTAGCCATACAAATTTACAATTGTACATCGGGAGCATCGTTCACAAATGACAATGAGATATTCCCAATGTGTGAGTGTCGTGGCGTGTTGAGATAGTGTTGGAGTGTTTTGTTGGTAGGAGGTCCTTATCCTACCGAAATGTCAAATATGTTGCACCAATAACTAGGGGTGTCAATTAGACTGAATTTGGTCAAATCCCATTCAGTCCAATGTGAGTTTATTATAAATGGGCCACGTCCCAATCCAATCCAATCAATGTTTTGAAGCAATTTAGATTATTTTAATTTAATGTTTGGACCATCCAATCTGTTCAAATTCATTTTGATTTAGATTGGTTTCAACTCAAACCCGGCCATTGATACATATATTCTTATCTTATATCAATGGATCAGATATTGGCTTAATCCAACCCAATTCAGTATAAATTTGTTATGGACGGACCAAGTCCAATCCAATCTAATAAATATTTTGGACCGGATGGTCCAATCTAAAATGTCTTGTTAGTCCTCCAATCCGTCTAAATTGATTTTGGATTGGATGGGGTCTAATTCAAAACCAGTCCATTGACACCCTTACCAATAACAAACACCCATAAAGGTAGTGTTTGGTATCATTGTTGTTTTCTCGAACATTTATGTGTGAGAATTCAATAAAGTAATTTTAGGTTTTGTGCTATTTTATATGGTTATTTGATGTCAAGTGCCAATTAGGTATCATTTCAGTCAAAAGGAGAAAACATTATTTTTATTGTAAGAACTGTCTTAAAAAGTGACTCTTATAGAATCCAAGACATCTATTGCTGCTTGAAATGGCTTAAAAGGACTCAACCAAGTAAGAAAAAAAAATGAGGGAAAGAGCAAAACACCTAAATGGTACTACCATTGTGTATTTGCATAAACACCTTGGAGAAATGATTGACAAGAAACAATTAGAGAGAGAGAGATGCTAAGATAGAAAAATACTGGTATTGTTTGTAAGGCAACATCTATGATGATAGAAGGGGTACGATACCTGAAGAATTTACGGAGAAGTACAGACATACCCATATTTATAATATTTTAAAAGGTCAATTACCGCCACCCTATTCACCAATGCCCGCCACATGTGAATTAGCATCAATTTCGAACTAACACCTACCCCAACTGTACTTTGTGCCTATTAATTCTGACCCTGGGATGAACGGTCATTCTCCCAAGAATTTAACCAATCAAACCCCCATCGACTGGCCACCTCTTTGATGTAGTGAAAGAACTGATTAAGAAGTTGATACATAGAAGGGAGACCAGATTTCCTGCACTTGGTTTGGTATGTGTTAGGCTGCACTTCCAATGAGATTGAAACACATCACATGGATACCCTAGCTTGAGATCACATTGGTGCCTCACAAAACATCCAAACCATGCATTGGGATCATCTCCCAAGTACAAACGCATGCTCAGATGTGCATGTAGAGTGCATGTGGGATGCAGATGTGAATTCTCTTGGCTTACTTGTGCGACAAAACTAGATGGTGTGTTTTCTCCATTATATTTTCATATATATATATATATATATATATATAATTTTAAAAAGTGAAAAAAAGGAAAATGTTTCCTTAATTTCTTATTCCCTCTCCTTTGTTCTTCTCCAATGAAGCAGGACTCTCTCTCTCTCTCTTTCTCGTGACCTCTCATCTCTCTCTCCTTCTTCACCTCCTCCTTGTCAGAAGACCAAACCAATCTGCCATGCCTTGCGCACTAGCTCTCCCATGAACTAGGAGCTCGACATCTACTCCTTCTTTGCCACTATTCATTTGCCATCAGTCATTGAAGCCCATGAAAGACGTCCCAATTATTAAGTTTTTCTTCTCAATGTTAGATGATCTGGTAGGTTCCAAACCAGGTCCATTGTGGTTGACAGTAGATTTCATAACCTTAAATTAAATAGGGAGAATGACTGATCAGCCCAGGGTCAGAATTTGTAGGCTCAAAGTACTGTCAGGGTAAGTGCCAGCTCGGAATTGATGTCAATTCATGGGTGAACGTTGGTGCATAGAGTATGGATTGTTGAGCTTTTAAATGTTTATAGCTCTACAGTGAAAATCAGAAATCTACATTGGGCAAATCCATACTTCTCCAAATTAAATAAGCTCATGTTCGATGGCTTCAGTTGTTGATTCCTCAATTCCCCATAATCTAGTGGTGAAGAAGTCAGAGGACTCATACTGGAATGTTATTTGATGTTGGAAAATATATTAGAGAAGCATATGTTCCAAGCAAAGGATTTGGATGCTTTCTCTGAGATTTGGGAGTCTTTGTTTTTGTAAATCCCCAATGTTTACTCCTAAATCTGGATCTAATTCACTTTAATTTTATAATTTTGAGTTAAAATATCAACAAATGAAATAATGGGGTTAAAATATGTTGTTTATCGAATGTCGCACAAGTAAACCCTAATTCCATTTGTATATGAGCGTAATAAGATGATTGGAAGTGTATCCTGGTATATATACCAAACCGTATGCAAGAAATACAGTGTCGGTAGAAGGGTATCCATGCTTCGAACAATTTAAACAAATTAGAGTTGGGTTTGATGTACATAACGAGTTCAGATCTCCTACCTACAATAACCTTACCCACACCTACCCATGCTTTGTTATATTTGTACATTGAGAACATTTCCTGTATTTGCATGTTACCATTTATGGGGAGATGTTCCCAATGTACAGATGTAGTGTCATGTGGGTAGGAGATCTGAATTGGTACATAACGCAGTTCAAAGTATCGATACATATCAGCTGATTCATATTGAGAGCTTCTCGATACGTTCCTATAGAGGGTGTATTGGAGTTTTGACCGGTTCAAGGGGTGGATGGACCTTTAAACTGACCCCTCTGAATCAGATTTGAAAAAAAAAAAAAAACTAAAAAAAGTACCAATACACCTCTACCAATCATGCATAAACATGTCAATGTTCTATACATATGGGAGCCAGATTGATAGACAAAACCAAAATCCTACTCAAAACACAAATATAGCAAATGAATTGCATATGATCAATATTTGGAGAAATCACTCTCTTTCTTACCCACAAAAGTATTGCAGATGAAAGATGGTATTATTGTGAACCTATGATTACTATTTGAACCAGCTGAATCTTTTTCTTTCCTATAAAAATCCTATAATTATTATTTGGATCTTATGATTCAATTTATGAACCTCACAATTTATATGGTTAATGAAAATTGAATCAATTTCAACCAGCCAAGGTGCTGTAGACTGTAGTCAAAACCTTTATCAGAACAGGTTCCTTATGTGTGTTAGTAAAGGAAAAATACATGATATCGGAAATGCATAGTACAGGAAGAACTTTGATCAATCAAAGAACCCCTGAATTTTGATGAATACCACCTGATTGGTCACCCCTTGTATGATATTGGTTGATTGACTGTAAGTTTTTCTGATATCATCTCTTTCCACTATCATAGTCCAATCCATTAATAAAAAGGTATTTATATTATCAAGATCTATGCAATGTCAATGAGACTGTAAATACTTCAAGAACCAGATTTTATTCATTAATAATCGGATTTGAATCTAACCTTATATCCATCAGATTGAACTCAAGTTCGGAATGCATCACCCCAAAATACATGTATTAGTAGGTATTGTAATATATTGTTTTGCACTTAATAACATCTTTTTTTTAACCCTCTTGCACTTAATTACTCCAAAACATATGAAAAGTAATGGGGTTCATCAATAGAAAATAATGAGAAAGATGATTTATGACATTACATGTGGGTACTGAAAAAATGCATGTGGGTACTAAAAAAATGCATGTGGGTACTGATCATTGTTGTTTAGAGTTGAAACATAAAATTTAATGTTTCAAGTAACACCAGCAATCTTTATTGATCAACCCAAAATGTCCCTGATTATGTGACATGACAAATGATTGACTTGCCAAATTTGCACTGCTACAGTGGTTAAATTTGCAATGTTAAAAGTTTATATTCACCAACTTTTCAATTTTATCAAGTTATTGCTCCTAGCCCGATTAACCTAAGTCAATTCTCAACCAAAAAGTCATCTAGTTGCGGAATCACATTTCTGTGAAAGAATCTTCTTTTTTCACAATGACATAGTGTGGAAATGAAATAAACTTATTTTGTTTCAAATTCTTTGAGGTTGATGATATAATCTTACCACCGACAAGTATGGTTGTGTATATGTTTTCCTTTCCCTTAACAAATAGTCGTAAGTATATTCTTAGATAGATGATTTATAATTAGAAAATTGAACTCAAACTAGCATTTGATGGCTAATGTTTGTTTCCTTTAATTTCCATGAATCAGCATTTCGCCCTTCCTGAGACACCTCTTTTCTCTTCATACTAGTGCATGAGCCCCCTTCAAACCCAAGGTTTAAAATTTCGATACGATATGTTCGATACGGAGCATATCATATCGTATCTTTGAAAAGTAGATATGGGATATGCATAGAAATTGAGTGTCTCATCTTTTTACATGCGTATCAAACCCGTATCGAGAGTGTATCAGGGCATATAGGTAGCGTATCGACAAAAAAGATATGGCCAAATTTTGAAAAAAAAAATAAAAGGGGAAAGCAACCTTCTTTTCCCTAAAACAATGCTTCTTTCACCCCTAAATGACTCTAAAACTCCAAACCTCATTCCTAGAGTGCTAGATTTG